GCATTGGTGGGCGCGCGGTTGAGGATGAACACCGTCGTGGTCACCGCCTCTCCCTAGAACTTTACCGGTATGCTTTTAGCCTTCATCATGGATCGAGCCATGCTGACCACCATTTGGTTCTGCCACTCCACCATGCGATTCTACTGTGGCGAGTATGGCGTGGTGTGGTGTCACACCACACCCTGATCCACGCAGTACGCAACGAACTTCACCGAAGTGAATTTGCCGCCGCTATCAGTCCACAGCACGTGTTGCCGCTCTCCGCCTCCACGCGCGCCTTGAACTTCTTGATCGCTTCTGTTGCCTCGGTCTTGCTGGTTAGAAGTTGCAGCCACATGAACCGGCTATAGTCATCCACCAGCAAGATGAAGTACTTGCGCCCGTCGTGCGTCGTCGGCGTGATTGGCCTGCAGAGGTCACCATGGACCAGCTCGAGGGCCTCTGCCACGTGGTACTTCGCCGTCTTTGGGAATGGCAGCCTTCTTTGCTTTCCAACCAGGCAGCTGTCACACAGCTTGCCTGCGTGCTCGATATGAGGTAGCCTAGTCACCATCTTCTCCAGCCGACCAAGAGCGTCGAAGCTGAGATGGCCATACCGGGCATTCCATAGCCACGGCTCCTCCATGTGCCGTATAGCCAAGCAAATGGGCTACTCCACCTTCAAGTCAAGCAGGTATAGCCAGTTCTGGGACCTCTTCACCTTGGCAAGAAGCCGCTGCTCCCGGTCTCTCTCTTGGCCATTTGCATTAACATAGCAACCTTGTGAGCTTAGCCAAAGCCCTCCCACTCATCTCCATCATTGATTCATCATCTTTGTGAGATTGGGAGTGAATCCAAGTGCATTACTTGAGTGATTGCACCTAGAGGCGCTTGGTGTTTGCGTTTCGCTGTGGGATTCACTTGTTACTCTTGGTGGTTGCCGCCACCTAGACGGCTTGGAACAGCGAGGATCATTGAGCGGAGGTTGGTGATTGTCTCCGGCTCCAATCATGGTGATTGTGAGGGGTTCTTGACCTTTCCCCGGTGGAGAGCCAAAGGTACTCTAGTGAATTGCTCGTGGCTTGTGTGATCCTTATCTTGTGTTGGTTGTGCGGCACCCTATCGAGGGTTTGGCATGTGATGCCAATTAGCACGTGAACCTCCAAGTGAGTGAATCGCCACAACGAGGACTAGCTTGCCGGCAAGCAAGTGAACCTCGGTAAAAAATTATTGTGTCATCATTTGATTCCGAGGTGATTGGTCTTCATTGGTATTCATCCTTATGATTGATTGGTTCACTCCTCGACACGGCGGTATAACTATCTTGCTCTCTCTCTTTACAATACCGCAAACTAGTTGTCAAGCTCTTTAGTGTAGCTAGTTGTGAGAGCTTGTTAGTTTGGTTAGTGTGGCTCTTTAGTTAGCTTTTGAATGCGCACTAACTTAGTGTAGTGACATAGCTATTGTGTGGATAGAAACCATATAAACTAGAATTGTGGTAGGTGGCTTGCAATTTTAGTAGGCTAGCGCAACACTTGATTCGCCTCATAATTATCTAAACGGTTTGTTAAGTGTTGTTATAGAAATTTTTAATAGGCTATTCACCCCCCCTTTAGCCATTAGGACCTTTCAACTTTGGCGCGTGGTTCATCGACGTTGATAGTCTTCAGAGCCTTGCCGTGCCCTTCCACTGCCATCACCTCTCCCTTCTCCTTAGCCTCAACGTCGTACAGTGCACAGAACGTTGCCATCAGGAGAGTGGCCTCATCATCCTCATCAGCCTACACAAAATGAGCCTCAGCCTTCTTCTCCTGCTTACGATTTAGGCACTCCTTTGACCAATGGCCCATTTTCCTACAGCACCGACAGGCGTTGGGGTTGACCTTCTTCTTCTTCTTCTTCTAAGAAGCCTTGTCGCGGCGCTTGCCATCACCACCGCGGCTGGAGGAGGCTTCCCCGGACTTCTTCTCCTTCATTTGGGTAGCCCACTCCTCTGTCAGTAGTAGCTTGCCATTGTCCGTTGTTGCTGTGGCCTGCTCCATGCGCTCGTCCACCGCCCATAGATGGCTTGTCACATCCTCAATGTTGATGGTGGACAAGTCCAACATCGTCTCTATGGAGAGAGCGATCTGGATGTACTTCACCGACATGGAGTGGAGGTACTTGGAAACTACCTCTTCTTCGTCGATGGTGATGTCGTGGCTCCTCAGCTTGCTGATGAGCGACTGCAGGCGGAGGGAGAAGTCCTCCACCGACTCACCATCCTTGAACTTGAGGTTGGCGTACTCCTGCTTCAGCAGCTGGGCCGTCGCCTTCTTTGCACGGTCGGAGCCGACACGCATCGCTGCAATGGCCTCCAACACCTCCTTAGCAGAGTTCTTCACCCCCAACGGCTCCCTGTACTCCGCTGGCACAGCAGCGAGGATAGCCTCCAATGCTGACATGTCATCTTCTTCGTTGTTGGTGCCCTTGTCAATGGCATTCCAGAGCCGTCGGGCTCTGAGCTTGACCTTCATGGTCACCGCCCACTCACCATAGTTGGTACGAGTCAGAGTCGACCAACTGGTGCCGCTGACCTCTCGCACCATGCGCACGACGACCTCCTGTCATGGCTGGGCAGCCACAGCAGCGCCGTTGCTATTGCCGATCTCTGAACCGTTCATCATCGCTAGTGGTTAGTCCGGCGACGGCACTTGTACGGCTCCGATACCACTTATTGGTCCCTCGGCTGCCCTACACAGGTAAGCAGTAAGCTTACTAGCGCACTCACTCACTATGGCTAGAGGTAGAAGAAGATATTGAGAACAGCTCATACACATAGCATAAGCCCAATGTTGGTCGAAAGCTCTGCTTCTAAATGTGGCAAACTGAACTGAGTTTTTCCATTATTTTTGGATAGAATATATACAACTCTAGTTGTACCTCTACCAGGTACATGGTTGTTGGTGAGTACACCAACTACCTACTCCTAAGGTACAAGGCTTAGCTTAGCTATCTCTACACTACATGGCTGAAGTAAGCCATTTCTACCTATTGCCTCACTGCTGCTGCAGTGAGTGGTCAGCCGAGCCGACCAGTTCCATCTCCTAAACCAGGAGAGGACAGCTATGCCGACCAGTCAAGAGAGAGATGGGAGCAGCAGATTATGTCTAACAATAGTGTGTTTTGACTACAAGAGACTTGACCCTAGTATCCAGTGAAGCATATAAATTCCATGGGCATCCCTCTGCACAATGAGCCTTTACTCTTCTCTGGTCATTCCTAGGTAGCTTGATCTCAACTCTATTCTTCACACTGTACTCTGTTATTGCCTCTCTTAGTTTCTCAACAAATGGAAAAACAAGTCCCACAGAAAAAGATGGGTTGTTCATGTCCTCCTCACTGAAAGAAGTAAACCTGAGCCTGCCTTCTCCTTCACCATCTGATTCTAGAAGTTCCAAGCCATCATCATTTGTCTCCTCATCATCAATAGCTTGCACTGGTCTGTTTGTCTGCAATGTCATAAGCTTACTACCTTTGGCCTTATTGTTGTCCTTCACTTTTATGCCTTCCTCTATGACAGTGTCTTCCTACAAGTTGTCATCTCCTTCCTCTATCTCATAGTCACTATCTAAAAACTCCTCTTGTTCAGAGGCACTACCATCAGCTCCGGTTGCTTCATCTGCTTGAGCCCCATCAACAACCACCTAATCAACTCTTCTGCTGCTGAAATCAGTGTAGAAAACTGGAAGCTTTTCGCCTGGTTGCTTGACCATAAACACAATCTTATGTGGGCTAAGAACCTTAGGCAATTCAGCAATTGGATTACTTAGTAAATCATCCCAATTAGCACTGTCAATTATATCCTCATGATCAAAGTACACAGCCAAATTCCTATGCTCTTCCGCTACTAAGGCCATAACCAGTGTGTCATGATCTGAAACTATTACCCTCAACCCATCATTTAATCCCTTTCCTGGTAGCAACCAGTAAAACTTCAGGCTTGGATCCTTCTCATAACCTAACTGCTCAGCGAAATCTTCAAAACACAGTGGTGACCATGTCTCAGCCTCCACATTATCAAACTAGTTAACCCTTTCATCCATATAAGTCCTCATATGATCATGGCCAACAAAAAGAACCCCCCATGGTGAACCTCAATTGTGAACTCATCTGTGCCAGCACCTACGTTAGATGAAAAAAGAACAGAGTTCTCAAAAGAATGCCACAAGCCCAATCACAACTAATCCATACCTAACCCTATGAATTTTGCACAAGCCCAATCACAAGCAACCTAACGATTTCCGTAGGAAAGATCAAGTCTACATACAAGCAAGACTAAAATTGACCAGCAACATAACCTGCAATGGCAATGATGGATGAAAAAGACGAACTCACCATACATGGGCGCTGCTTCGCTTTTTCCTCGCAATCTCGCCACCATCGTCGGTTGCAGCACCGGCGTCCAGGTTCCTCGCTTGCTTCCAGCCTTCACCGCGCTTCACACCATCCTCGCTAGCATCAGTGCCGCCCCCCGATCGTTGGCTCTGATAACACCCTCGCCGCCGCCGTGCGCCCCGAAACAGAGAAGGGAAAGAGGTGTCCGTCTTAAACGATGGAGAAGGGCAATGGGGCCGAGAATAAATAAGAGAGAGCTCGGGGGTCTTCGTGAAAAAAAAATCACGAGCTGGTTATGTGCATGCAGACCCGATTGGATAGGGATGAGACCCAAACTATGATTAGAGACCTAAATATGTGTTTTATGAGATTGGAGACCAGAATAACATCCTGGTACAAGTTTATGACCCAACATGTAATTTACTCTTTTTGTTTACAACAGTCACCAGGCCTTTTGACCTGAGTCCTCGGTACTCCCAGTCCCAGCCAACGGATCTTGTGGACACGTCAGAGACTCACAGGTACCTCCGTTTTAGCAAATTGTCCTCACCACCCCAACCCCCCCATCATCATCGGCTGACTCGGTTTCGATCCACGAACCCCCTCCCAATCCTCCAAAGATCACCGCTTTCAGGCCCCCCGCAATGGCTGCCGGAGGCCTCGCGCTGCTGCCCGCCCTCCTCGTCGCGGCCCTCTGCGCCGCCGCGTGGCGGGCCGAGGCGGCGATCGGGGTGAACTGGGGCACCGTGTCCGACCACCGCGCGCCGCCCGGCGTGGTGGTGGACTTGATGCGCGCGAATCGGATCAGCAAGGTGAAGCTCTTCGACGCCGACCCGGGAGTCCTGCGCGCGCTCGCCGGCAGCGGCATCCAGGTCATGGTCGGCGTTACCAACGGCGAGCTCGCAAGCTTCGCGGGGTCGCAGGCGGCTGCAGACGCTTGGGTCGCGCAGAACGTGTCCCGATACGTCGGCCGCGGTGGCGTCGACATCCGGTGAGCCCCGGTCTTTCTCTGGATCTCTCGCATTGCAGCATTGAAGTACAACCTTTTGATTCTTGCTTCCTCAGTCTTAGTGATTGGTTGGGCAAACCTAGGATTTATGTAGTCAATTTACTTGAGTTAGGTATATGTTGTGTCACTTTTTAGCTTTTAGTGGAGTATTCGCTTTGTTGAGCTCCTTTGATTCTTGTGGAGCCGATGATTAACCTTTTGTATGTTTCTTGTTTCGTAGACATGAAGATGAGATGTTTCAGGTATTTCGTATCTGGATGAAACATTTCTAGATGCTGTGCTTTAGTTTATTTAGCTTTAGTGGAAAGTTTTTCCTACATTTGAGTTTTTCCTATATTTGAGCCAATAGTTGATTGCTTTGGTGCAGAAGATAATCTTTTTCTTAATGTGGTTGCTTAGATTCGGAGTATTGTAATTCGAATTATAAGAGGAAGCTGGTCCATTTGCTCATCAGCTGTTCAGTTCAGTGTCATTGCTAAGATAGGGTCTAGTTGTTTGAATTTGCAGTGACATATCTGGTTTCATTTATTTATTTTGAGTGTTTATCATAGAATTCAATTTGTACATCTCTATTCTATTTAAGCATTCTTTCTGCTTAGCAATATAGTGTTTCTTTTAGAATGTGTCTGTTGATGGTAAAACGCAAGGGCCCTGAGCTGCTGTCACTTTGAAGCAAGCAATCACTCTATTGTTCTTCATATTGCATACTACGTCAAACAAAAATTAAATTTCATCCTTTGAGTTGCCTAACACAAATCATGTTATCCTTTGTTTACACAAAGCGAAACTGACCATTTTAATCCGTAGACACCAATAATAGTGAGAGATTAAGAGTGATGTGCAAATAGTTAATAAAATGTTCTGGGATCATTGCAGAATGTACTGCTCAACAAAACTGGTATAGTTGAGTTTGGGTTAACGATGCTTAGTTGCTTACATACTTTTTCAGAATGTGCAAGTGATTTGTTTTTGTGTGTTCTTTACAAAGTTACATACTTTTTCATCAAATTTCACTTGCAATCATGAATGTGGTGTGTCCATACAAGATTGACTCCAAAATGGTTGATCTCTTCGTGGCTACTAACTCTGCATTTTTTACAGATACATTGCTGTGGGCAATGAGCCTTTCCTGACAAGCTACCAGGGTCAATTCCAATCATATATCATTCCAGCAATGACAAATATTCAGCAATCGCTGGTGAAAGCTAATCTTGCTAGCTACGTAAAGCTAGTAGTTCCCTGCAATGCAGATGCATATCAGAGTGCTTCTGTTCCATCTCAAGGAGTATTCAGGACTGAATTGACTCAGATAATGACCCAGCTGGCTGCTTTTCTGAGCTCTAGTGGGGCACCATTCGTCGTCAATATCTACCCATTCCTCAGTCTTTACCAAAGTTCAGATTTCCCACAAGATTATGCCTTCTTCGAGGGATCTACTCACCCAGTAGTAGATGGTCCGAATGTGTACTACAATGCATTTGATGGGAACTTTGACACACTAGTTTCTGCTCTCAGTAAAATTGGCTACGGGAACCTACCTATTGCAATTGGTGAGATAGGTTGGCCAACTGAGGGAGCACCAAGTGCAAACTTAACTGCAGCAAGGGCATTCAATCAAGGGCTTATCAATCGTGTTACAAGCAACAAGGGAACTCCACTCCGACCTGGTGTGCCTCCAGCTGATGTATATCTTTTCAGCCTTCTCGATGAAGAGGGGAAGAGCATACTGCCAGGAAACTTTGAGCGGCACTGGGGGATCTTCTCCTTCGATGGGCAAGCCAAATACCACCTGAATCTTGGGCTGGGAAATTCAGTACTGAAGAATGCCAAAGAGGTTCCTTACCTTCCATCACGTTGGTGTGTTGCAAACCCTGCTTGGAATCTTGACGGTGTTTCAGATCACATGAAGCTTGCTTGCAGCATGGCTGATTGTACCACTCTGTACTACGGAGGTTCATGCTATGGTATCGGGGAGAAGGGCAATGTTTCATATGCTTTCAACAGCTACTATCAGCAGCAGAAGCAGGACCCAAAGAGTTGCGATTTTGGTGGGCTTGGGATGATAACTTACCTTGATCCATCTATGGGCGAGTGCCGCTTTCTTGTTGGTGTTGATGATAGCAAGAGCTCTGCAGTCGCCTCTTGTGGCGGTGGATGCTGCGGGGTCTGCTGTGGAATGTGGGTTTTAGCTTTCTGGGTGTTCATGTACCTTAGAATGATGGGTTCTGCTTGATTCTCAAATTGATGTGCTGGGGCATGATGCTTGTGCCCATGTTAGATAGACTGTACTCTTGACTTCTAGGTCTAGGAAAGGACTGCACTGTCGCCATGTGAGATTAGGAAATTATGCTTGATATATAATATTAATTTAATTTATTGTTGAAATGCCCCTTTGCAATTATGCTCGTTTCTGAATATCTGTTTACCATCAGTTAGTTCCCGGGGCATATATTAAAGATGTGGTAAATACTCCTTTTGTTGTAGCACCTGATGGAACCAAAGAGATGTTTTATTGCCATGCATGCTGCAGCATATATGGTATGATCACAGAAAAGTAGTGGGATACTACAACAACATTCCAGCTGAGTTTATTCTGTATCATCATAATGTTTATGATCTATGAACAGGCACAGGCCTGAGGATCTTCCTCAAATTCAGCGGGCAGACGGTGGTGGGGTGGGCGGGCAACAGTTGTCGCCGCAGCAGGCATGGCCGCAGGTCACCTTCGGATGCTGCACCAGCCAGCAGCATTGGCATGCTGAAATGAAATGAAATGCATCCATGATCAGTATCAGGATCAGGAAAAGCTGTGAGGTGATGCCAACATGCTAACAGCAGATGAGCATGACTGATGGCCTAACTGCCTGCAAGGCCGTCAGGTACACTCTACTGATGAGAATATCTTAACAGCATCTTTGGTGGCATGTCTAAGTTCCATGAATACCAAGAAATGAATCAATCAATCTATAGTGAAGAGAATATTTTGCATGACTTACGGAGTGAGGCCGTCGCCGTTGTGATGAAGAGTGCAAGCAGCATGAGCCATACCACAAGGGCGAGGGCAGTGTTCTTCATGCGGCTCATGCCTCCCTTTGTGTTGAATCTTCAGATTTATTCTTGTGAACGGCTGAGATGGTAATGTTGCTATGTGCTGTGTATATAAAGGGATGGAGGTGACCGCCTATGCAAATTGTGATAAGATGCAGCCGCTTTGCTGGACTACTGTAGTTACTGGACTGTTGACGCCATCTAGATCTCTCTGTGTTGACTCTTGAGATGGTGGTTTTGATAATTTGTTTCCTAGCTGACTTCAGATGCCTGGGCCTAGATTGAGCGGCCTGGCCGGTGCTCCCAAGCTCAGGACACCACGCCAAGAAAATAGCCCCATGTTCCATGTGAGGGATACACATGAGTTCTTTAACTAAATTTGTATATACGCCCTCTTAGTCGTGAAAATAAGGCTGCTTGGCTTGGGCTGGACGTACGATACATAAAGATTATTCACATGTAATGTTAATATAAGGTCGTTGTCTTTTTAGATAAAGTAATTATTGTATGACAGGCTAATAAGTATGCCACAAGGAAAAATAAGTTACTCCAATTAGGAGCACGCAGAGACGCGAAGAATCTAAAACCTTTGCGTGAGAACATTGATTACTTGAATAAGACTGCCGAATGAAGGTGATGCTCTAGCTCCAATTACGTACAGAAAAAGACGACAAGCTATGATGGCAGTGAGAGGAAAGACGGGGAATAAAGTAACGCGAACAAAATTGGATGAGCCGAGGAAGCAAGCAGTGATGCAGGCAAGCACCATCCAGGGCTGCGATCGCATCACGCCATGCCAACACAAGGGATGCTGTGCTGTGTTGTGTTGTGCAACGAACCTCCACTGCATGCTCTCTTTAAATAGAGTTCAGCAGCCGATCGAGCAGCGCTCCACATGCATCGCCTCAACCATAGATCCAGCACCAAATAAATAGACAGAAATGGCGACCGAGACGAACAAAGCAGCATTCGAGAATAATAATAGGCCGCCAACGCCAACGCCAACAGAGAAAAAGAAAAACGAGCCGCAATCAACGACGGAGTACCAGCTGAAGAAGTACCTCCTGCTGCTGGCGACCCTGGTGGCGACGGTGACGTACGCGGCGGGGCTGAACCTGCCGGGGGGCGTGTGGCAGGACACGCAGCAGGGGCACACCGTGGGCGACCCCATCCTCCCGGACACCCAGCACCGGCGCTACCTGGTGTTCTACTACTGCAACGCCACGGCGTTCACGGCGTCGCTCGTGGTGTGCCTCCTGTTAGCATCGTAGTACTGGTACCTCTGTGTTTCACCCGTAGATCCGTAGTTAGGCTCTACGACCTTGCGGGGCTTCACCGCAACGGCAGCGTGGACGCCAATGCCACCCTGGATGCAGCCTCGCGGACGCCAGTGCTCGGCGTGGTGGTGAGGCAGTGGGGGCGTCGGAGACCCTGCAGGCGCGACGATAGTGGTGGTGGCGGGCTCATCCCGTCGCTGGCAGCACGCTTTAGGATCGGATTAGGGTATCTCTGTAGGTGGGTGTGGTGGCTCCAGTTAACCTCGTAGTCCGAGCCCTCACCCCCACCTTTCTTTTATGTGTGCTGGGCGACAGGGGCCCACCAACCGAATTAGGGTTGGGCTCCCCCGATCGAGGGAAGCGAGATATAGGCCCAATAGGCCGTTGGGCCTATTGGTGGAGATCAACTAACATTCTCCCCCTTGATCTCATTCCATCTTTCACTTTCATATCATTTGCTTTTGTTCATTCCATTACAGATTAGCTCATAGAGCATGTCTCATCGTCACGGTCCATTGCCGATAGACTTAACAGCTACAACTCACTACTCTGTTCTAAAATAGATACTTATTTTTGGGCCTTCTTTTGTCCAGGAATATTTTAGGCTTTCCCTTAAACCCAAGCTAGCTACATGTTCTCTGAACACCATGTCCTCTGAACATGTTGGATGGTAAGCCTTTTGTAAGCGGATCCGCGACCATCCTTTCTGTTCTTATATGCTCAAGACTTATGACTTGATCTCGGACTTTATCTTTCACAACATAATACTCTATGTCAATGTGTTTGGCAGCACCACTTGACTTATGTTGTGAGTATACTTTATCTTGCTGATTATTATCGCAGTATCACTTAAGTGGTCTATAGATGTCGTCAACCACCTTCAAACCGGATATGAACTTCTTTAGTCAGTTTCACCTGCCTGTTGCCTCATATCACGCTACAAACCTGTCATACATTGTGGGCGATGTAGTGACGGTTTGCTTTGAGCTTTTCCATGAAATAGCTCCCTTTTGCGAGATGATAGAAAATCCACGTCGGATATGCATTCACTCTTGCATAATCGAAATCTAAATATCCCACCATGTGGAGTGAATCGAGATCTTCTATATGTCATCATGAGGCCTTTCGTTCGTTGCAAATAATGCAAGACTTTCTTTACTAATTTCGGTGTTCTATTCGAATTGCTCGAATCGCCAAGTAAAACCGGTAACAAATGCCAAGTCGTAGCGTACATACTTGAGCATGTTGCAAGCTTCCGAACAAGCTGAAGCATATGGAACCACTTTCTCTTTATCGATTGAGCTCATATTAGTTCCTGGGGCATTGAAAATCCTCATATCCGTCGTCCTTGACTACAGGAGCAGGTGAGGGACTATATTTGTGCATACTGAATTTCTTTAAGATCTTTTCCATGTATGCCTTTTGTGACAGTCATTATACCCTTTTCTTCTATCTCGGTGAATCTCGATCCCTAGAACGAACGAGGCTTCGACAAGATCTTTCATATCAAGTTTTGAGAACAAAACTTCTTTGTCTCCTGTAGTAGACTGACATCACTACTAGCAAGTAAGATATCATTTACATACAGGATAAGGAAGATAAACTTCCCAATCTTAAACTTTGCATAGACACAATTGTACTCTACATTCTCTTTAAAACCCAAAATTCTTTATTGTCTGATCAAACTTCAAGTACCACTGTCTTCAAGCTTGTTCTAATCTATAAATGGATTTCTTTAGGCGGCATCCCATTCGTTCTTTTCTTTCCATGACAAAACCTTCCGGTTGTGCCATGTAAACATTTTCCTCCAAGTCTCCGTTGAGGAATGCCGTGTTTACATCCATCTGATGTAATTCTCAATCGTAATGTGCCACTAATGCTATTATTATTCTGAAAGAATCCTTACATGAGACTGGAGAAAATGTCTCATTGTAATCAATCCCTTCTCTTTGCACAAAGTCTTTTGCCACAAGTCGGGCTTTATATCTCTCTATATTCCCTTGAGAGTCAAGTTTTGTCTTGTAGACCCATTTACAGCCTACTGTTTTGGCTCCTTTAGAAATTATTTTCAAGTCCCAAACTTTATTGGCATTCAATGATTTCATTTCATCTTCCATGGCCTTAAGCCACTTTGATGACTGATCACTACTCATGGCTTCTTCAAATGAGGCTTTGATAATCCTCCATTTGAAATTCTTTAGTGTTGTACACTTCATAATCAGCAGGAATAGCTGATTTTCTAACTCTTTGAGACCTTTTAGGGGCCTTCATATTTGGCACATCTTCTGTTTGAGGCTGTTGTTGCTCCCCCTCATGTGTGGCAATTGGTTCTATTGGATCCTGAAGAATAGGTTCCTCATTTTCACTTATTTTTGCCGCAGGTGGGATAACAACAGGTGCTGGCACCACAGTATCTAGCACTGTCGGTGCAGCTACTGCAGGTAGTGAGAAAATTGGCTCATAAATCATTGGAATGGGCGCTTACACCCGCTTCACTTCAAGGTCAATTTCTCGAGCTACCATGCTCCCCCTCATCAATTTGTCCTCTAGGAAGACAGCGTGTCTCGTTTTCCACAAACTTTATATGTCTCTCTGGACAGTAGAAAACGAAAACTTTTTGACTTTTCTGTGTAGCCAATAAAATGGCAACTTACTGTTTTGGGATATAACTTCCCAATATTTGGGTTAAATACTTTAGCCTCAGTAGGGCTCCCCCACACACACGCAAGTGGTTTAGTGAGGATACTCTTTCTGTCCACAACTCATACGGTGTTTTGGGCACCGACTTTCTTGATACTCTATTGAGAATATAAATGGCGGTTTTAACGCCTTCATTCACAGGTTCAACTGTAAGGTGGAGTAACTTATCATACTGCCCACCATATCCATCAGGGTACGATTGATTCTTTTAGATACTCTATTCTGCTGAGGTTCGCTCGGTGTAGAATACTGAGCTACTATGCCATTCTTTTAGGGTATGCCGACCGTAGTACTCCCCCACGGTCAGACCTGACTATCTTAATCTTTAATATCTTAAATTTATCCAATACATCTTTTCTTTCTTTGATTGGATAAATATAGTCATAATGGGAGTAATCATCTGTGAATGAATCATAACTATCCACACTCTTTACAGGAAAGCTGACCACAGATGTCAGTGTGAATAATATGTAAAATTCCTGTGCTTCGTTTGTCATCTTTCTTTACATACTTTCCTTTTATGCATTCTCTGCATTGAACTTAATCTGAGAGCTCTAATGGAGGAAGAATATCATTCTTAACTTGTCTTTCTATTCTCCCCCTCGAAATATGGCCTAAACGATAGTGCCATAATTTCAACAACGCATCGTGAGCTCTCTTATGCCACCATTTCTAGAGTAACACTCTGTGACCAGCTTTATCAGCTAAGTGGCATATCTTTGAAGAGCCAGTGAACTGCTCTTTATTCTATCGAGGTACTTGGTGACCGTGTCACATTCTGGGATTGAGCCCACAATTGTAGGTTCAATCATGTTCTTTATCACAGCCAAACATTTCTTGTTTGCAGTGACCCACTTTCTATGCTCAAAAGCCATAGGATATCTTTTGGGATTCAAAATCCCTTTCTTTAGTTGCCCAAGTGGCATCATTTTCTTTTGTCTCCCTCACCGGTGCCACAAACTCAGTGGAACACGGTGAGGTGACTACCCAGTCCACCTTAAACAAGATGAAAACCAGGTCAAATTTTTTCTTAACATAAAATTAACACCATTTGCATGC